GCTGCCTGGATTCTTACTTTTTCACCTCACGAGTTACTTTTGAACTAAGCAGATCAAAGGGATCTCCTGACCGCAAAGCGGAGAGCGCGTTTCGATGCTGCGTCAGTGAGGTGGAGTCACCGCAGCATGGGTGATAAATGATAAATGACCCGCACTTGTATAGCGCCTCTCAGAGTAAGGACTCCAAAGCGCTTTTCACTACAGTGTATCATTCATCCATTCACACACACATTCACACGTTGGTGATGAGCTACTATGTAGCCACAGCTGCCCAGGGGCGCATTGACAGAGGCGAGGCTACCGAGCACAGGCGCCACTGGTCCCTCTGACCACCACTAGCTGGAAAGGTGGGTTAAGTGTCTGGCACAAGGACACAACAGTAGAATTCTCTGTGCGGAGCCGGGATTGAACCTGCAACCTTCCGATTACTGGACAACCCGCTCAACCTCCTGAGCTACTGCTGCCCCAGTAGTGAGCTCCGCAGTAGCAGAGCGCTTCAGGCACAAATAAGACAGAAAGTAGAGAATATAAGCAGACATGAACGATTGTGGGTTAATGATAGTTTTTTAATTGCGCCACTTTGAGAATGGACCGTGCGCTGGACGCAGCTGCACAAAGTGCACCATCAGCCCTCTGCTGCTCTCTGTGCTCTCCGCTCAAAAGAACCCCGGTACGCTGAGTCCATATAAATGATGTAATATAGGTACAAACCTTTTTTCTGGCTCTCCCTGTATGTGTAGGATATCCAGCCTCCTCATAATTTGATCCCTACTCCTTGGTGAAAAACCAGACATTTTCATCAATACAAGAAACCCACCCGGACGCCCCGAACAGAGAGTGAAAAGTGGACACGTCAGGGGGAAAGAGGACGCATGGTCACCCTAGGATAGCTACACCTTAATAAAATGGGAGTTATTGGTGATATTAACGTCCTGTTTGTGGCACATTAGTACATGTGAGGGGTAAACTTTTCAAGATCGGTGGTGACCACGGTGGCCATTTTGAAGTCGGCCATCTTGGATCCAACTTTTGTTTTTTCTATAGGAACAGGGTCATGTGACACATCAAACTTATTGGGAATTTCACAAGAAAAACAGAGGTGTGCTTGGTTTGAATGGATTGTCAATGCAACCCCTTCTCCCACTCTTCACACACTGATAGCAACACCGCAGGAGAAATGCAAGCACAAGTTTCCAGTATTCAGAGTTTCAGGTGCTGCACATCCCATATTTTCACACCATAGACAACTGGCTTCAGATGACCCCAAAGATAAAAGTCTAAGGGGGTCAGATTGGGAGATCTTGGGGGCCATTCAACTGGCCCACGACGACCAATCCACTTTCTAGGAAACTTTTCATCTAGGAATTGTTCGGACCTTACACTCATAATGTGGTGATGCACCATCTTGCTGAAAAAAAAACATAAAGAGGGACATGCATCATCAAGTAGCAATTTCAAATATTCAGTGGCCTTGAGGTTTCCATTGATGAAGAATTGCCCTACTATCCTTGTACCCCATGTACTGTATGTACCACACCATATCATCACTTGTTTTGTTCCAGCAGTCTTGGAGGGATCTATCCAATATGGGTTAGTGTCAGACCGATAGCGGTGGTTTTGTTTGTTAACTTCACCATTCACATAAAGGTTTGCCTCATCACTGAACAAAATCTTCTGCTTGAACTGAGGATCTTGTTCCAATTTTTGTTTTGCCCATTCTGCATATTCTGTGTGCCGATCTGGGTCATGCTCGCTGAGATGCTGGAGTAGCTGGAGTTTGTAAGGGTGGCATTTGTGAGTAGCTAATATCCACCGAAGGGATGTTCAACTAATGCCTCTCTCCAGCGACATGTGGCGAGTTCTATGCTGTGGGATCTTGCTGAATGAAGCTAGGACAGCCACTGATGTTTCTTCATTAGTGACAGTTTTCATACGTCCACATTTTGGCAAATCCAACACTGAATCAGTTTCATGAAATTTAGCAAGCAGTTTGCTAACTGTAGCATGGGAAATGGGTGGTCTCCTAGGGCGTCTTGCATTGAAATCTGCTGCAATGACCCGGTTACTGCATGTGTTCACCAGATATCAACACAATTTCAATCTGCTCCTCACGTGTTAGCCTCTTCAATGCAACCTTCGACACAGTTGACCATGCGATTCTACTGGATCGCTTGGAACGATGGGTTGGGATCAAAGGGTCAGCTCTGGATTGGTTTAGATTGTATCTCCACAACAGGACATTCTGTGTTAAACTGGGTGATGTTTTTTCTTCTTGGGAGGGGCTCCACTGGGGGGTCCCGCAGGGATCGATCCTTGGTCCTCTTTTGTTTGCCATTTACAGTGGGGCAAGAAAGTATTTGGTCAGCCATCGATTGTGCAAGTTCTCCCCCTTAAAATGATGACAGAGGTCAGTAATTTTCATCATAGGTACACTTCAACTGTGAGAGACAGAATGTGAAAAAAAAATCCATGAATTCACATGGCAGGATTTTTAAAGAATTTATTTGTAAATCAGGTTGGCAAATAAGTATTTGGTCAATAACAAAAATTCAACTCAATACTTTGTAACATAACCTTTGTTGGCAATAACAAAGGTCAAACAATTACTATAGGTCTTTACCAGGTTTGCACACTCAGTAGCTGGTATTTTGGCACATTCCTCCATGCAGATCTTCTCGAGAGCAGTGTTGTTTTGGGGCTGTCGCCGAGCAGCGCAGACTTTTAACTCCCTCCACATATTTTCTATGAGGTTGAGGTCTGGAGACTGGCTAGGCCACTCCAGGACGTTCAAATGCTTCTTACGGAGCCACTCCTTTGTTGCCCGGGCGGTGTGTTTGGGATCATTGTCTTGTTGGAAGACCCAGCCACGTTTCATCTTCAAAGCTCTCACTGATGGAAGGAGGTTTTGGCTCAGAATCTCACGATACATGGCCCCATTCATTCTGTCCTTAACACGGATCAGTCGTCCTGTCCCCTTAGCATAAAAACAGCCCCAAAGCATAATGTTCCCACCCCCATGCTTCACAGTAGGTATGATGTTCTTGGGATGAAACTCAGTATTCTTCTTCCTCCAAATACGACGAGTTGAGTTTATACCAAAAAGTTCTACTTTGGTTTCATCTGACCACATGACATTCTCCCAATCCTCTGCTGTATCATCCATGTGCTCTCTGGCAAACTTCAGATGGGCCTGGACATGCACTGACTTCAGCAGCGGAACACGTCTGGCACTGCAGGATTTGATTCCCTGCCGTTGTAGTGTGTTACTAATGGTGACCTTTATTTCTTTGGTCCCAGCTCTCTGCAGGTCATTCACCAGGTCCCACCGTGTGGTTCTGGGATTCTTGCTCACCGTTCTCATGATCATTTTGACCCCACAAGATGAGATCTTGCGTGGAGCCCCAGATCGAGGGAGATTATCAGTGGTCTTGTATGTCTTCCATTTTCTGATAATTGCTCCCACAGTTGATTTTTTCACACCAAGCTGCTTGCCCATTGTAGATTCACTCTGCCCAGTCTGGTGCAGGTCTACAATTCTTTTCCTGGTGTCCTTCGAAAGCTCTTTGGTCTTGGCCATAGTGGAGTTTGGAGTCTGACTGTTTGAGGCTGTGGACAGGTGTCTTTTATACAGATAATGAGTTCAAACAGGTGCCATTAATACAGGTAACAAGTGGAGGACAGAAAAGCTTCTTAAAGAAGACATTACAGGTCTGTGAGAGCCAGAGATTTTCCTTGTTTGAAGTGACCAAATACTTATTTTCCACCCTGATTTACAAATAAATTCTTTAAAAATCCTGCCATGTGAATTCATGGATTTTTTTTCACATTCTGTCTCTCACAGTTGAAGTGTACCTATGATGTAAATTACTGACCTCTGTCATCATTTTAAGTGGGAGAACTTGCACAATCGGTGGCTGACTAAATACTTTTTTGCCCCACTGTATCTGCTACCTCTGGGGTCAATCTTTCGTAAACATGGCCTATCATTCCATCTCTATGCTGACGATTGCCAAATTTACTCTCCATTATGTCAGGAGAAAGGTCACTCTATCCAGTCCTTTGTGTCCTGTGTTAACGAGGTGAAGTCTTGGCTAATGGCCAACGTTCTGCATCTGAATGAGGGAAAGACAGAGCTCATTGTTTTTCACCCCAACAGCAGGAATGTGGATCGTTATGTTTATCTTGGGCCTCTTTCTCTATACTCAAAACCAGTTGTGACCAGTTTGGGGGTGAAAATTGATGCTGGACTTAAATTCGATGCTCACATCAACTCTGTGATCCGGTCCAGTTTCTTTCACCTGAGACGCCTTGCAAAAATCAAGCCCATGCTGTCAAGAGCCCACCTGGAGCGGGTACTGCATGCATTTGTAATTTCTAGGCCTGATTACTGCAACTCTCTATATGCAGGATTGTGTCAGTCATCACTGCGTCACCTACAGGTTGTGCAGAACAGCGCAGCCAGGTTCCTGACTGGGACCAGGAAACGGGACCACATCAGTCCGGTTCTGGCCTCCCTGCACTGGCTTCCGGTTTGCTATCGTTCACAATTCAAAATCCTCGTCTTTGTTTTTAATTTCTTCCAGGGTGGTGCTCCCCTGGAACGCGGGTAATCTGTTGGGTGTTTTTGTAGATTTGGAGTTAGATTAGAACTATCTAGAATGTGAAGACCAGTCCAGGACACCCTGTCCTGATATGATGTTTGTGATTTTGTTTGTTGTCTGTGAAGGTTCTCAGTCATCCAGGTCATTGTAGTCTAATGAGCTTTGAAAGAAAAGCATCTGGACTTCTTTGAGTTGCTTGAAGACATTTCACCTCTCATCCGAGAGGCTTTTTCAGTTCTAAGGTCAAATGGTGGAGAGTCCCAGATTTAATCCCTGTGGGAGTTTCCCCCCGAAGAGGGAACAAAAGACCCCCTGATTATCTTCTACATAAACACATGAGCCATTGTTTTGTTTGAGCCACATGATTTTGTTTGTTGTTTATTCTCTGTTTCGTTCTAGGAGATCATGGAGGAGGCTGACCTGCTAAAGGAGAGGCTCCAGGCCATCACAGTAAGGACCGCGTCTTTGTTTTCAGAAACTTTTCATTGATGTAAAGTTTTTAGATCAGCTGATGAATGAGGTATTCACCTGGTTTAGGTGGTGAACTTTAATATTGTAGTGATGAGAGTGGGTCTGCCACGACTCGTGTGGCACCGAATTCGGTACTTTTTAAGGTACCGACCGAATTCCATAGTACCGACCGAGCACCAATTCACGTCATTTCAAACGGTGCCTCGTTTCGGTACCTGTCCTTCATGGCGAGAACTTGCCTAGACAGCTGCGCATGCGCTAGAGCGTTTTGTCGTCGCTTGCTGCGAGCCAGTTGTAAACAGAGCAGCATGGTAGAAAGAATGTACGCTAAAGCTTGGGTCCACTTCACTAAATGTGATGGGTAACTGGGTGATGATGAAACCAGCGACAACGATCTAAGTGAGACATCCTCATCTTAATCTGCTCCGGTAGGTAAATATAATTAGCTTGATATGTCAGCTTCCGTTTCGCTAATGGTGCATTCGCTTTCTCCTCGGAACTCCGAATTCCCGACTAGAAGAACATGAACGCGCTCTAAAGTTTGGCTTCACTTTACTAAATGTGACGGGTGAAGACGAAACCAGTGACAACGATCTAAGTGTGAGGCATCATCGTTTTAATCTGCTCCAGCAGCTAAATAAACTGTTTAAGATAACGTTAGCTTGATATCTTAGCTTCCATTGCTCCCATTGTTATCAGCTAATGGTGCGTTCGCTTTCTCCTCGGAAATTCTAACTTCCCAGTAGGAAAAATCAAATGAAAAAGACAGCAAAAGGAATGAAGATACACAGTAAATTTAGTTCACAGTAAAGATGTTTGCTTCAGTTTAATTATCAGCTTATAAAACTACAAGGACAATGTTAAAATACAAACAGTTGTATGTTATTTATCGTGATATTTATCAAATATTGTTATATATTGAGAAAAATATATATTTAATTATAAAAGAGAATTAAAATAATAAACACTCAAAAGTATCGAAAATTGGTACTGTTAAGTACCGTATCGATTCGTAGGTACCGGGAATTAGTACCGGATCGATTCCAATGTCAAAGGTACCCATCCCTAGACACGAGTCTGGTTTCAGGTTGATGAAGTCTGATTTTGACTGAACAGTTTATCTCCTTTTTTATTTAGATTTTATCATGATTATTTTATTTATTTAGCATCTAATTAATATTTATTATAAATCATATACAACAAACAACTTTACATCTCGTAAAAGAACATTCATCCATCTTCTGGACCTGCTTGTTCCTGTTCAAGGTAGCAGCAGGTCTGTGCCTATCTCCGGTTATGTTTGTGTGGAAGAAGTTATATAATTCCAAAATAAAATGCATTAGCAGAAAAAAAATTGTGGAGTCCTGGGGGATACATGGAAGTTCACCCTAAGAATCTACATGTGTTATGGGGATGTGGAGAAGGTGGTTGACAGTATCCCTCATTGGGCCTTGTTTGTTAAGGGCTGTTAGGTCCCTGTATGACCACTGTCAGAGTTTGGTCCACAATGCCGACAGAAAGTCGAGCTCGTTTCTGGTGAGAGTTGGACTCCAACTAGGCTGCCCTTTGTCACCGATTCTGTTCATAACTTTTATGGGCAGGATTTCTAGGTGCAGCCAAGGTGTTGAGGGGATCCATTGTGGTGGCCTAAGGATCTAGTCTCTGCTCTTTGAAGATGGTGTGGTCCTGTTGCCTTCATCAGAACGTGATATCCTACTATCGCTGGAGTGGTTCGCAGCTGGGATGAGAATCCGCTTCTCTAAATCCGAGATCATGGTCTTGAGTCGGAAAAGGTTTGAATGCCTTCTCCAGGTCAGGGACAAGGTCTGGCCATAAGTGGAGGAGTTCAAGTATCTTGGGGTCTTGTTCACAAGTGAGGGAACGATCGAACTTGAGATCCACAGGCGGATTGGTGCTGTGTCTGCAGTGATGTGGGCGCTGTACCGATCTGTTCTGGTGAAGAGAGAGCTGAGCTCTACGTTCCTACCGGTGCCTTTGGTTATGAGCTTTGGGTAGTGACCAAAAGAACGAGATTGCGGATAAGCGGCCAAAATGAAGGTGGCTGGGCTCTCCCTTAGAGATCGGGTGAGAAGCTCGGTGATCTGGTAGGGGCTCAGAGTAGACCTTCTGCTCCTCCACAACGAGAGGAGCCAGTTGATGTGGCTCTGGCCTCTGGTCAGGATTCCTCCTAGATACGTCTTTGGTGAGGTTTGCTGGGTATGTCCAGCTGGAAGGAGACCTACAGGAAGACCCAAGACACGCTGGAGGGAATATGTCTCTTGATAAGCCAGGGAGAGCCTTAGGATTCCTCTGGAGAAACTGGTCCAAGTGGCTGGGGAGTGGGAAGTCTGGGCCTCTCTGCTTAGGCTGCTGCCCCCGCCACCCGACCCCGGCTGAAAATGGATGGATGGATGGATGGATAGCAGAAACAATCTCTCATTTTCACAATCAACCGGCACATTTTGATGATACTCCTGCCATTTTGAGAGATAAAGACTGTGGAGGCCCCAATGCAACAAACGTGCAAAATGCATCATGTGCTGTAGGAATGTCATTTACAATAAAGGAAGAACGTCAAAATGGTGCCTGGAGCAGTAGGTATGGTAGTTGATGTGGTGGAAGTGTTGTTGGGCTGGTTTTGGTGTTCCAGGGTAGCTGCAGCCTCCTGCAGAAGCTCTGAGACAGACTTTGCCATGTCAGATTTTCCTGATTAATGTCACATACCAGGGTTCTGACCTATGCCCCTCTGCGTCAAACATACACAACGCTCCCAAAGTGCTGGATTAGTGAGTACGGTCAGACTGGAGACTAAAAAAGAGTGAAACTGGCAATGATGTCACTCTCCAGCCCTGCTTGGGATTTCCTGTTTAATTTGAATCATGGAACACATTTTGCTGGGCAGGCATGAAAACAAAACTGCAGCGTCCTTTTCTTTATGGTT